AAGTACATAGTAAGCAATGCTGGCAGTTTGTTTTGATTTAGCCAGCGTTTTTTTCATGATTATACATTAAGTTTTCAGCGAGATATTTATAAACTGAAATAGACGCGAAAAGTACGCGATGTCGTCGACGACATACTCGACCCCAAAGAGTTAAAAGCATATAACTAAGATCGGTGGATCTCATGGGAATATGGTCGATTTCTGATCCCCTCAAATTAGCGTGATCGAGGCCGATCGATCGGTGCGCCGATCGATCGGTGCACCCCTAGTGTTTATCACTATCCACCGAGAAGGCCAATGGAACATAACCTCTCTAGTGGGAAAGGAGCCTGAGCTCGTGTGGGAGGTGGAGAGATACCGACTAGATATAGAAGGGCTCACCTCAATGTACTGTAGGGCTCTGGCTCTGGAATCAAACTCCCGAAGAGGGGCTGGACTCTATTCCACTCTGGAGTTGCCCATGGTGAGAGAACATACGGGTGTCCATAAGTGCACCTGGCACCAGAGCTCCCTAGGCTGATTTTGTAATTATATCAAATTATTATTGGACACTTGGGTGATGAGAGGTGCTCATCTGTCAACTGATCACCACCTAGTGGTGAGTTGGATACGATGGCGGGGGAAGATTCTAAATAGACCTGGTAGATACATGCATGGTATGCTGGGAGCATCTGGCAAAGGCCCCTGTCCGGGAGGTCTTTAACTCACACCTCTGGCAGAACTTATCTTGCATCCTGAGGGACTCCGGGGACATTGAGTCTGAATAGGCCATGTTCAGGGACTCCACTGCTGAGGTGGTATGGGGGAGCTGTAGCCGTAAGGTTGTTGGTGCCTGTCATGGTGGTAATCCTCGAACCCAGTGGTGGACACCAGGGAGCTGTCAGGCTGAAGAAGGTGGCCTTCCAAGCTTGGTTAGCTTGTGGGACTCCAGAAGCAGCAGAAAGGAACCGACAGGCTAAGCAGAAAGTGGCTTTGTCAGTTGCTGAAGCAAAAACTCTGGTGTGGGGGTGTTTGGTGAGGATATGGAGAAAGACCTTCAGTCAGCCTAGAAAAGGCTCTGGCAGAATGTCAGGCAACTCAGGGGAGAAGTAGACCTTTACCCATGCAGTTTACAGCAGAGATGGAAAATTGTTGACCTCATCTATGGATATAGTCAGGCAGTGGAAGGAATATTTTGAGGATGATCTGAATCCCACTGATATGCCTTCCCTCGAGGAAGCAGAGCTGGAAGACTCAGAGGGGCACTTGCCTATCTCTAGGGCTAAGGTCACTGAAGTAGTCAAACAGCTCTTCGGTGGTAAGGCTCCAGGGGTAGAAGAGTTCTTGAAAGCTCTGGATGTTGTTGGACTGTCTTAGCTGACACGCCTCGTCCACATTGCGTAGACATTGGGGACAGTGCCTTTGGATTGGCAGACATGGTGGTTCCAATCTTAAAGAAAGGGGACTGAACGATGTGTCCCAACTTCAGGGGGATCACACTCCTCAGCCTCCCTGGTAAGGTCTATGCTGGGGTACTGGAGAAGAGGGTCCACCCATTGGTCAAAACTTGGATCCAAGAGGAATAATGTGGATTCCATCCTGGCTGTAGAACACTGGACCATCTCTACACCCGCATGGTGATACTGGAGGGTTCATGGGAGTTTGCCCAACCAGTCTACACGTACATGTGGTTTGTGAACTTGGAAAAGGCATATAATTGTGTCCCTTGGGGGGTTCTGTGGAGGGGGTGCTTCAGGAATATGGGGTATGGGGTCCATTGTTGCAGGCCATCAGGTACCTGTACAGAGTGAGACCTTGTTTTGCATTGTTAGCAGTAAGTCAGACTTGTTCCCAGTGGGTGTTGGACTCTACCAGGGCTACCCTTTGTCACAGATTCTGTTCATAACTTTTATGGACAGAATTTCTAAGCATAGCCAAGGGGTGGAGGGGGTCTGGTTCGGGGGCCTCAGGATTGCGTCTTTGCTTGTTGGAGATGATGTGGTCCCGTTGGCATCATTGGCCGGTGACCTGCAGCATGCACTGGGGAGGTTTGCAGCTGAATGTGGTTTGCAGCTGAGGTAGCTGGGATGAGAATCAGCACCTCCAAGTCTGAGGCCATGGTTCTCGACCAGAAATAGGTGGATGGCCCTCTCCTGGTGAGGAAAGGGTTGTTGCCTCAAGTGGAAGAGTTTAAGTAACTCGGGGTCTTGTTCACAAGTGCAGGAATAAGGCAGCAGGAGATTGACAGATGGATCATATAATTATATAAGAATTATATAACTGTATAACGCAATAGCCAATAGCATATAGAAATATATAAAACATACCAAGCATATTACAATTACTCAGAATTCAAGCGATATCTGCCTTGTCAGGCTAAACTGCTGGTCAATTAAAAAAAAAAAAAAATTGAATTTAAATTAGTAAAAAATGGAAGTAGTGTGTACTCGCAATCCTAAGCCGCAATTCATGCACTTGCGCTCCTGCATGAGTGGGACCAATAGAAATGCTCTCATTTTGATGTGCTTCAACTGCCCGACACTGAAGTTTCCCGAGCTTGGGAATGGGGTACTGCTCGTGTGGCAACCTGTGGCTTGCAAGAGCAAACAAGTCATTGTTTTATATTTTGCAACTCTTGCTTTTACTTACCATCCTCATGTGATGTTGTGCGAGTGATTATACAGATGTGGACAAATTTGTTGGTAACCTTCCACAAAAAACAAAAAAACACATCTATCTCTGAAATAACTTGAAACTGACAAAAGTATAATGACATCCCTTATTGTTTATTCCATATTTAACATAAATCAGACTTTGCTTTTGATTATTGCTTGAGTTGAATATTTTATGTAATTAAACCACGGACAAAAAAGATGGTACCCTTAATTTAATATGTTGTGGCAATAGCTTTTGAAGCAATCAATGGCAACAAGCTATTTCTGTACTTCACAAGGAGACATCTGCATTTGAAAACAGGTAGTTTGGCCTACTCTTCCTGAGCAAACTGCTCAAGCTGTCTCAAGTTTGAAGGTTGGTGCCTCCACACTGCAGTTTTCAGATCTTTCCATAGATGTTCAATAGGTTTAAGATATGGGCTCAAGGAGGGCCATTTAAGAATAGTTTTTTTTCTCAGCCATTTCTTGGGTGCTTTTAGTTGTATGTTTTGGGTCATTATGTTGGAGGACCCATGACCTGAGGCTGAGCTTTCTGACACTGCAGTATGGTTCAATGCCTTAGTAGTCTTGAGACTTCATTGTGCACTGCACAGATTCAAGGTTCCCTATGCCAAATGCAGCAAAGCAGCCCCAAAACAAAACCGAGCCCTCTCCATGTTTCACAGTGGGTGCGATGTTTTTTTTTTTTTTTTTTAAGCTTAATTTTTCCTTCTGTAAACATAGAGCTGATGTGACTGGCCAAAAAGCAGAAAGGGAGTGGTGTCTTCTTATATATAAACCAAAAGTGGTGTAAGATTATAGCTATGCGGGAGAAAGTATGCGAGGTTGACATTGAGAAGCTGACTGTGTCACTGCGCACAAATAATTTTTCAAGAGAATTCTTGTATTTGTTTTAGTGTACATCCACTACTATGCAAATGTTAATAATGCATCAGAAATTATTTTGCACATGGTTAACAAGATAGACAAAATATCTATTGATGTGCCTAAGTTTAAAAGGCAAGTTTAACTATTGTTCATTGGGTAGCATTTTACCTTCATACTATCAGTACATTGACTGTCCTACCCCACTTATTTAGATACCTGACAAATGATACAGTTCTCTTCCAAGAACTTACAGATCCTTTCCTCTGCTGGGTCTTTGTACCACTGATCATAATTCATAAGTTCTACTTGTTC